ACTCTGCTCTGAAAGTCATACTCTCATCCTATCCTGCCTCCGAGATGAGGATTCAGAAGGCAATTGCACTGACGTGTCTGGGGAAAGATGCCCTAAAGAGATGTGATCTGTGTTAGAAAAACTGTAGTTCCAGTTGTTGGACCATTCTCTTCCATACTGGATGTGACCTGTTTTTCTGCCTCCCCCACCTCCAATCTCTGAGCTGTGCGGAGACCAGAACCCCAATTTATGCGGCATTTTCTTTTTTAAAAAGATTGATGGATTAGTTGGCCTAGAAGATGGAAAGTCTTGAAATCGAGTAGCCTGACCCTGAGTTGATGCACAGGCAGGTAATATTTGTTTGTTACACAACTGGGACCTGCAACTTGGTCATAAACAACACAATTGCTAAGTGAAACTGCGACTGTACTTATGATTGGACTTCAACTTTCCTTTGCTTTCCAGACTTGTGAAGGTTGCCTATGTGAGGTTGCAAAGTTATTTTTCCACCACCATGGCACTGTGGTGGCTAAACGAGGCTTTCGCTAAATGAGAACTACCCGTAATTGAAAGTGAAAATGAAAGGATTTGACTCTTATAGTACTTCTGCAGCCTTCCAGGCAGGGAACTCTCTTCAAACAATGTTTTAAACTAGTTTTCAGCTCCCACACTGAACTCCTTTCCCAGCCTCCAGTTCTTCAATATAACTTCTCTGGTGGCTGCACTGCTCTGGTTGACCACTAGGTGTCACCGCACAAAATACTTTGCTGCCATTCACTGATCTATAGGGTGAACTGTTGTTGACCCATCATTTCAAAGACCAATAAGGTCAGACAGTGGATAATATTATGGGAAAGGAAAAAAAAAGTAGTGCATGGAGTAACCAGTGAGTCATGCATGCTAAGAGAAGGAGACAGTGGTGTACACTGTTAGGTGGAACTGAAACTTCAGGCAAGGAAACCTCCCATCACTATGTCCTTTGCATGATGAAGATGTATAGACAATTGCCCAGCATAAACCTGTGGATGATAAACCTTCATGGAAAGCATAATTCTTTACTGGTTTGGAGATTATGAAGCAGGTGCCGGGAGTTCATGCCTTAGATATCATTGTATGGTGAAGTGATTAATTTCTTCACCACTAAGAACTCAAAAGTAGCAGAGGCAGTGTTGGCACATTATTTCCCCAATTTCTCATTTTTACCCCCCAACACACTGAGTCATAAATGAACCACATGGCCTCTGTAAGACTGAAATGTGATGTTTTGTTGTTCAGTGGGGTGGAAGGCCAGAGGTGTGTTCTCTAATTGGCATTGTGATGAGGTTGACATATTACATTTTTTCTGCCACAGGCAGCCCCAGGATCAAACTACACTTATTATGCTACCTCTCTGTTCCCATGTAAGGTTTCTCAATTTCAGAAGAGAACAAAATGTTCTTCCACCAGGGTTTAACTGTGTTTTATTAAATATACTATGTTGGCATAAATCATAGCTTTGTCACTTCATCAACAAGGTTTGCTTACCATGCTAAGTTAAAAACAGACAAATCACAGTATGGCTTAGCAGGGTTTGTGAACCTGCTGTTTGATATCTGAAAATCTGAGTTCAGGGACAGGATTTTCTTCCCATTTTCTTAAAACTAAAATTTGTTTTGTTAGACAGCCATTTTAATTCAAATTACTGCCTTATTAGCATATTAACTGCTAACATCGTTAATCATTGTCTTATGCACAGCAAATTGTCTTTAAATGTACAGTTTTTCTTTTAAAAAAAGGAATTCAAAACATGAATCAGAAACAAAGAGCCAACAAACAAAAAGTGAAGTATTTGTAAACTGCCCTAAAATAAGGTTGACTTTGCTAGAATAAACCAAGCATTGGGACATTTGATGCAATAAGTATTCATAACATTAAATGAACAAGTTAGGAAGCCGTTAGGGACTGGATGAGGGCTAACAAGCTTGTACTCAACCCAGAGAAGACCGAGTGGTTGTTGTGTTTCCCTCC